GTGGCCAAAATCTCACATGTCGTACGTGAGACCAGAAGGAAGGTAAGAGCCATATTTAAAATCTTTCAGTCCCACATAAGTGTCCAACACTCTCATAAATTTCAGCTCCCTACCACTTTTTCTCCCCGATTTAGTAATTTTCGCGCTAAAAATTAATTTCAGGTGGTCGTAAGTTAGTCCTATGCGTACGTGACAGATGAATTTAAAATTGAGGACTTGTATGTAGATAAGGAACACTGTACTAAAAGTTCAGCTTCCTAGATTTTTGTTCCCCGGGTTAATAATTTTGGCGTCAAAACTTTCATTTGGCCACAAGTGAAGGATGAATTTAAATTTGAAAGGCCGTATGCGGGTAGGGGACACTGCGCTAGAATTTCAGATTCATAGCTTTTATGGTCCCTGATCTATTAATTTTAAAGTCAAAACTTTCATGTGACTATGTGTGAAGGAATTTAAAATTATGCAATTTCATGTTGGTGGAAACATTGTCTTAACATTTCAATTTTCTATCGTGGTTCTCGAATCAACAATTTTGTCACCAAAACATTCGCGTGACCATATATATGGGTAGGGAACATTGTCCTAAAGTTTCAGCTGTCTTTTGTGGCTAATGGGTTATTAATTTTGGTGCCAAAAATTTCAAGTGTTCGTGGGTGGAGGCTAAATTTAAACTTGCGAAGTCGAGTGTCATTAGGAAACATTCTCTTAAAATTTCAACTTTCTAGCTTTTCTGGCTGCAAGTTAACAATTTTTGCGCCAAAACTCGCACATGTCGGTGTGTGAGACCTAAGCGTGCGTGAAGGCACTTTTTAAATTTGTGGGATCATAAGCGAGCAGCGAACATTTCTCCGAGATTTCAAGTTCCTAGCTTTCGCAGTTCTCAGTTTGTTAATTTGGGCGCCAAACTATCAAGATCATATGCGGGTAAGTTCCTAAGATTTCGGTTCCCTAACTATTCTGATTTCCAAGTTATAAATCCCGGATAAAACGCACTCGGAACACACATACATACAAACACTGGCACAAGCATACGGTCTTGGTAGTAGCATTTTGTGTAATTATTGCAACATAAAAAGCATAAAAAATTGAAAAGAAGAAAACCCAAAAAGTGGAATTTGCAGATACGTTAAAGAGAAGATAAAAAATTTCAAAAACTGTAACCATTCAAGAAAGTCCGCATTTAAAAAAAAAAAAACTAAGTACAACACTAGCTTTTTTCACAGTACTCCAAAAGAATGGAAATTATGTTTTCCAATGCACCTAATTCGAAAAAAACCCCATATAAAGCCATACCACGACGTTGTTCATCAGGCATCAATGCGGCCAGTTCACGCACTCCCCGTCCCATTTCGGGCATATTCGAACCAATGGTTGCAATTGCTGTACCAACTTTGGAATCTACTTCATCGACAACTGCTGTCATTTGCACAACTTGCGCAGTAGCAGCGCCCATCTGTGCCAACTGATCACCGACCTAAAGACAGTTTCGAAAAGTACTCAATTTGGCTTTGTACAGTCCTTAACTGCTAGCATTAATTCGTGTTTAGTATTAACAGCAATACTGATAACAATCACCAAAACTACACAGAGAACTGGTAGGGGGACTACATTTTAATTATGTTACTGAGATGTTTTAAAGCACCGATAGCACCTATGTCAGGCTCCTTCAGCCCTGAGCCAGTCACCACTTTTCTGATGTCTGCGTGTTACTAATTTCGTGCGTAGCACTGACTAATATGTGTCATACATCTTTGAATTGTACGTGGGCTGGGAACATCCCCCAGTGTGTGGGTGTATGTGTGTATTTCTGTCCGGGTATTTCAACTCGACAACAAAGCAAGCTCTGGTATCAAATTTTGCCATTGGGTTTCCCGGCCAAATGCCATCTCAACACGCTGTACCAACCATCACGCACGTTTGGGCCTTACGTACGGGCGCGTTAAAATTTTGGCGGGAAAACAGCTAACTGGGGGATCAAAAAAGCAGGCAAACTGAAATTCTGAGGTTATGTTCTTCGTCCACATGGAACTTAAACATTTCAAATTCGACCCCACGCATGCCTACTTGAAAAATTTTGGCGGGAAAATCGCTAACTCGAGAACCAGGAAAGTTTAGAGACTGGATTTTTGAGGGGATGTTCCCAGCCTACGTACAACTCAAAGGTTTCAAACTCAGCTCCCAGGTATGCTTGGTTTTCACTTACAGCCCCACGAAAATTTTTGACGAAAAGTCACTAACTCGGGAACCAGGAGAGCTGGAAGGCCGAAATTTTAAGAAGACGTTTCCTGATCAAAGTACCATGTAACAGCACAATTAACGTCACGGAATTCGACGGCTAGTTGCCATAAATTCTAACTACTGGCACTACAAGCAATTTTACAACAGCACAAAATGCTGCAAAAACGCATGATCTTTTCTCAGTGACCATTTTTCAGATGAACTTTAGAGACAGGAATAATTCGATCGGACACTCTGAAGACATGAACGTTGCAGTGGAATTTGTGTCAATCGGTAGACCTCGGTGCAGTCTATGGGGAGAGAATGCCATTTACTTGTCCAAGCCAGACGTAGCTGTCCACCTTCCTAAATCAGTGCCTGCTTGTGCCAATTTGTAGTGTGCATACGGGCACTCTGCCCAGAAAATTATCCGAAGTACAAGATTTTTAAAAAAAGAAAAAAGGGTGAAAAAAGACAAACTTTCTGCTTCTCAACTTCAACTTTCGTTTCCACCCAACGACGTGAGGTTGGATCGTCTGTGAATCGTGGTAATTCAATCTGCACCGGCTTCTCCATTTCTTCTTCCGCTGCCTCAACTGCACGAATTGACGCTTCAATTGTACCAATGAGAGCACGTTGTGCACGTTCTTGCGAATCCACAACGCGCGGCCGCTGTCCCTTCAACAGTCAATATTCGAAGACGAAGCCAAAAAGGAAGGTATCAGAACTCTGTGCTTTTACTATTTAAAAAACGAAAATTTTCTAAAACGAGATCTTTTTTCTCAGTTATTGGAAATGACTAGCACTAGCAGCGGATTCCACGTCGACTGCCGAAGGGCAGATAACAGTCAAAGTTGAAAATAATTTGAGTTCTGACTTGAGAAAAGAATTTGTGCTATACCGCAAACAAAAAAAATGATCTTATGACTGCTGCTGGCAATTCTGTTGATGGTTTCTTTTACTCGAGGATCAGCGACTGAAGGCGAGTGGAAATGGCTTGGGAAAAAGCAATGCCAAAACAAATTTATCTACCAAAAGCACAGAATGTAACTACTCAAGCAACGACGAAGCACAAAAGCCAGTTGCGTAGTGGTCTAACACGTTGCGTCGCAATGTGAAGTGGAATGGTTCGATTCCCTCTCGGGCCATGACGCATTTTTGAAGAGGAGCTCCATTCGGGACAGATCTTTAACGGTTCGATTCTGCACCCCTCTTTCTACCTTTTGCCTCTTTTTTCACACAGTTTTCACAGCTATCTCGCCCAGATGGCAAAAGGTCTGCCCTAAAAAGGCTTCTGCATGAAAATGAACACAAAAGCATCCCACAACAATAACTTGTCGTTAAGCATATAATACTTTTATCTGAACTTACTTTGACCATTTGTTGCTGCAAAATCTGGCCACTGACAGCGCCGTACTGGGCACCGTTCAGCGCGGCACGCTGTGCTGTCGGGAATGCGCCAGGTGTTCGGAGTACGCCTGGAATTGCAACACCGCCTTCTTGCGCGAAGCCTTCCCCGATCTGTCCATGCGCTACGAGTGTTGCGCGAGCTGGGGCAACTACATCTTCCAGCATTGTCGAGCCCTCATCGCCCTGCAATCAGCCACTGAAGCAACTCTAAACGGAATCACTCGTTGAAAAGAAGCATCACAAAGCTGAAATGAAAAGTACGCCAGAAAGAAACATGAAAAGGTAACACTGTGTAAAATGCAAAAGTAAAACAGGCCTTTTCCGTTAGGGAAGGTGCTAAAATACGGCGAACCGGGGAAGGAATATTAATGGAACCGATAAAAAAAATATCGGAAAAAGAAAACAGGATCCGAGTAACTGTGTACTATAAACTTTCCAATGCTCAACCAGTAAGAAGCAAGGAATTTAAACACTGTACATTCAAACGTATATAAGTTATCAGCGAATGCAAAAAAACTAGCAAAATTAAGATCTCACTAAAGTATTTAAATTTTCATGCATTATAATTCCGCAACTTTTAGTCAGCAAAGTACCTGGTCGCTGTAGTTCAGGCAGTAGCAAAGTTCGGGGGAAATGATGGTGCTTAATACGGATCAAAAACAGCTCAAAACGGTTAAAACTTTGCAGAATGCTCCTTATTGTCAAAATAACTAGAAAGTTGCTAAGTATATTGATGGAGAGCCAGTTTTCAAAGCATTTCAAGTAAGTTATTCAGTACAACTGCAAAGTCAACGTAAAACTCTGTGCATGTCCAGGATCTCACCTCAATGCCCACGTGATCACGCGTACGTTTCTTCCGTAAAATTATGTCAATATAGCCAGCAATTAATTGCGCAATCTTTTCACCGTCCGCTGTCTGCACCGAATAGTAACCATCCTGGTAATCACCAAAATCCTGTAAATTCATTAATTATAACAACATGTAAGATTTTGTACAATAAAATATCCCTTTCGGTCCACAGCTCAATTTACAGAATCTGCTGTGCAACATAAGACGATAATAATTGGCCAGTGCATTGACTGCCGGTGCAAAGATGCGTTTTTTGCACAGTTTCCGCAGGTTGCTGTCGCTGACAGCACTGCTTTTTTCGGCAGATGCTTCTAGTTAATAGGATTGACACTGGCTACCATGACTATTAAAAAACATTCCCTTAAAATTTCAGCTTCTAGCCTTTCTGGTCCCCGGGTTAGCAAAATACCCGCCGAAAATTTTCAACAGCCCACGCGTAAGAACCACATACACCTGGGAGGGGGGGGGGGCTGGATTTGAATTCATTAAGTTCTACGCAAACGGGAACATCTTTTTAAAATTTCAGCTTTTAATTTTTCCGGTTCCCAATTTAACGGCTTATCCACCAAAAGCTCACGGTCCGTACGTGGGAACCATGTGTACAAGAAGCGCCCATTTTGGAGACAGAGGCCTGTACTTGCATGTAGATTAATTTCCCAAAGTTTCAGCCTTGTAGCTCTCGTACGTCTCGAGATGAAAAATCGGTCAATACCGATTTTGAAAAATCGGTCAATATGTGCACACATATACAGCCACTCGAAAATATGTGTTTTTGCACTGCATAGATGCAAAAAATGCATACCAGTGTGAAGGTTTTTGGTGATGCAGCCCAGCGCCGCACTTGCTCCAGCGGCCATTCCTGCAACACCTCTTTGGTCTTCTCGTCCACCCTCATTACGCATTCCTTGTTGACACCCAACAACCGTGGTACCAGTTTGTTTTTGCCCTTCATTTTTTCTTTCACCACAAAAAATGTGACGCCATAAGTGAGTAGCGAACGACAGAGATGAACATATTTGCTTTTAGCGTCCAGCTCACTTTTCCCGGCCAACTCGCGATACCCATCCATGATGCGCTTCTCGTTATCCTTTGATTTCGCATACTCTTTCGGTAGGAGTTCACGCAGGCTAAAACGATCATCGATATATTTTAGTTTGATGAAAGTCTGGATGAATTAAATTATCCCTAAAACGCAATCAACTGTGCTAAAAGCTCCTTTCGTTACAGCAACAGAGAATAATCAGAAGGACATGAGAATGATGTTTAAAAAATTCTAAGTGGCGGCTAAAGAAGAAGCAAAAAAGTAAAAAAAAAAAATAAAACTTGTTATAAGTAGGAAAGTATGTAATTATCTTATTTCATGTTCTCTATTTGACAGAAATTCGTTCCATGCCCAGTTCGTTGAAGTTTTTCTTGAAACAATAAATAAGAAAATCCGGTTTTAGTAAATCAAAAGTGGAACACATATGGGTCTCAAAAAAGTCCAAGAGAAGGGAATCAGCCGGTTTGGATCTAACCGTTGATCTATTGGCTCATCTATCCGCTTTCACAGGAAAGGGTGGTTATCTGAGATTCCTTTCTAGCATCCAAAGAGTCGCATACTCGTTGCAGAACAACGCTCCAGCACTGATGTCCCACCCATTAGACTTGTAAACTTCGCTGACATAGATCGCACTAGTGGTAAGGGGCATTCGACATCATCGAGTTGCAAGTACACGTAAAATCAGCAAAGCCAGGTTTTCAGGTATATTCAAGAAAAACTGTGTAACGAACTCAAGAAAATTAGCGCGTTGTCGATGGTCCTGCAGATCACCATACTGTATCTGACATTGCAACGCCGCCAAATTACACGCCATATCACGTGTAACCGGATGATTCCCCTGTAGCACACCCATTTTGCACTGCTCGTACAACAAATTCAATTGCACAGGGTCACGACAATCCACGTTGGTATCCGAGAAGAAGAACTTCCGACGCAATATCAGTGTTTCGTCATCGGCTATCTGAAAAATGTACTTCAAGATGGGAAGTTGATCATCGGCAATATATATTAACTCGCTTTCCAACCTTTTCACGGGAAATCTGCGAAAAATTAAAAAGTCGCTACAAAGGAAAAGATATATTATGCTTATGAAGCCAGATACACAGTAGATATGGTGCCAGGCTGATCTTCGAGTTCAGAGGCCGGTCAGAATAGTGGATGACACGTTGTGTCCAAATGTGAAAGGGAGAGCAGTTCAATTCTTACCGAATTATAACCATTTTTGAAGAGGGGCTCCGTTCACGACAAAAATTCCATTTTAATACTGATTGTATTTTAAGGGACGCCACTAACCGTTATGCAGCGAATCGGCCAGTAAGAAAGCTGGGCTGGCTGCGTAAGAAGAACGAAGAAATGAAAAAAATGACACTAGAAAAGCTAAATAAGTGATCAGAAAGAAGATAGTTATGAAGTATATGAACAATTTAATACTTTACTATAGGTACTAGTTATGAAGTATATGAACAATTTAATACTTTACTATAGGTACACAGAGGATATTTTGGCTTTCTCAGCGGCGCTTTAATTGGAGGCATTTTTGATCTTAATGCATATAAGGGCTTAAAAAGTAAAATTAAAGCACTAGCCGACTGCTCTCGCAGTGTTTTGCCATGATCTAGCCAGAGAAGCTCTTCGTCAGTGTGTAATTTCGCTCGCAGCTGCTCCATCTTCCGCTCTTTATTCCTGCCGAGTGTGCCGAATCCAAGACCGCGATCTTCGCTTCGGCCCCGCTTCTCCTCTTTCAGTGTCAGTGTGGAACGCCAGTCCTGGTCTGATGGCTGACGAACCTAAAAAATGCGCTTCTCGTAGCAAAAAAATATAGGTGCAATAATGTAAGGATTTCTGATCTTTTTTGTGCCACTGAAGCGAAAACGAAGAACTGCAGAGAGTGGATGCTGAGCTGTCATAAGTTAACAAGCGCCAATATAAAACCCAAAGATCAATGGGTTCCTTATAATTTGGAATGGAAATGTTCCCAGTTTTTGATTGCAAAACCCCCCAAAATCCTTGAGAAAATGACTCCCTCGAAACTTCAAAATCCAGCCCTGGCTGTTTCAAGTTTAGTGCAAAAACGCATGACTGCACCGGCAAGCCTGGTGTGTCTCAGCTTAGTTTTTTGTGTTTTTTTTTTTACTGCGATTATTTACGCAAGTGTCAAGACTAAAGGATTGTCCGTATACTCAAAATTTTACGCTGAAAAAACTGATCCCTTTATATTTCTGAGTTCTCCAAAGAAAAAGAGAAACGAAGTTTCAAAACGTGAAAAAAAATTATCAGACGCACCAAGACTACTCGAACCATCAAAGTGATGGCCTTATCTTAGTGATGTTAATTATTTAAGCTACTTACCAAAAATTCTAACTGTCAAACAATAATTGCTAAAGTACTAACCAACGAGTACTCTTCGTGATTACTGATGCCAATTTTCGAACAGACAACAACCATAATTTCACCCACTGGTTGACTTTCATCCACCATAACTGTTTTCACAGCACCATCAAGCATTCGTACTTTCAGTGGACGGATTTTTTTCTTGTATTCAACAGTATCCTGAAAGTTTTTCATCCCCTAAAATTAGCCTGTCCTCAGTCAGTTCCGAAGAACCCTGAACAACTAGGCAATACCGCCTCTTCCTACTCCAAAAACGCAGTTTTCCAGCATTCACAAATTAATAATCGCCGAATCTTTCTGGTTATTACTGCGAGTCCAAAACCGTCCGAGCTATCACAGGCCCATCGCGTCAAGCCATACTTTCATGTCTCGGAATATTTGCCACCAAGTGGTATTCACCGTCTCCACCATGCATGCGCAACACTCCTTCGGTTATCATCCAGGGATATCTACAGTAATTATTAAACTAGGAGTGTAAATATTAATATATCTTTCCCGCTGGCAAAATGGAGTTGGATTCATAAAAACCATTAGAAGAAGCTTTGAAAGAAACGATTTTAGGGACGAAGAGCTCACCCCGCTGCGAATTAGATAGTACTCCAGCGTTCGGCCATTTTCCATCCAGACACATTTCGTTGGGTCTTCTTCCAGACGAAATAGGCCGTATTCTTTCGCTGAAAGATAACTACTGGAAATTCGGATAAGCAGCGCGTAA